TATTATGAAAACAAGTTTATTAATATTAATTAACTTCTTGTTGGTCTTTCAATAGGAATTTGCTTGTTTTTGTTTGTTGAATTCGGAGACTCCAGCAGGTTTAATTTGTATCCTTCATTATCTTTATGTACCATATCATAATTCATTTCGAAATCGTAGTTGTATCCTTAAAGGCGGTAGGCATGAGTGAAATCAATATTTTTCAATAGATTTTTTTTGTGTTTTGAGATTTTCATTTTGAAGTTTCTGGAGGTTCTTTCTATTATTTTTCTTTTTTTTTTAAGTACAAAACACAAGCACAGCAGGAAAATCCTTAAGGCGCTCTCAGAGCAGTGCCTGTGTGAAAGTAGTGATTCACATTGGTTTGAATCGCTGGAGATTAAATCCATGTGGAAAAACGTTCTCGGGAAGTTTATTACACATAAACGCAGTTCTCCAGGTGAAAGAGTTCTTAAACAGTGATAGTATCTATAGAAGAGAGATGTTCCAGACTATCAAGGTTGCACGTGATGTTCGTGTTTCCAATCAGGTGGAAAGCTCTTTTCTGGATGGAATCCAGCAACTTTCGGGTATGTTTGGGACAGAGCTCTATACATGGAAACAATACTCTAAAGAAGGTCTGATCTGAGACTTATAAAGTTTCAAAAGTTGTTAAGGTATGTATACAGTTTTCTGGTTCGGAACAGTGTTCCAAGCTTTTAAGAAGTAGCCTTAGCAATTCCAGCGACATGATTGTGTCCATTTTAACACCCAACAAACTTAAAGAAGCAGAAAGTGGAATTGTGTGACGTGACATTATTATATCCGGTTTGGAGATATTTTCTTGGAGAAAACCGATGCCTGAGTTTTTGTGGCATTGAATTGAACTGGTTTCTTTCTCTGTACATATAATTTTTTGTGAGGCCATTGAAATTCATCATGAAACATTGTCAATCACCTTTACTTTAAAACTATCCTGGAAACTAGAGTAATACCGAAAATTTTAGGGTCTTAAAAATATATATGCATTCCATGTTTTAATAACTCTAGTGAGAATACTCATTCTCCCGAATGTTGTAGAGATTTTTGAATCACTATTTATGGTAATGAAGGAATCATTGTATCTTTCGATCATTAACAAAATCATTGAAGCTTTTTAAAACGGAAAACACATGGAAATCAAATGACTATCTATGAAGAATGAAATTTATTAACAATGTATTGACGTTCCGTTCATCCGCTGTGACTCACATCTTGATTTGCACACATCCTCAACAATGCTAATATTAAATTGTAATCGATTTTCTCCAGATGAAAAAGTTCTTAAACAGTGAAGTTAGAGATGTACTCCGTTGAACCTCAAAACGATGAGCAGCCACAGCAGCAAAGGCTGCCTCTCAAGAGCTTGGAACACTGTTCCGAACCAGAAAACTGTACACATCTCAGCAACTCTTGATGATTTATAAATCTCAGATCAGACCTTCTTTGAAGTATTCTTCCCATGTATGGATCTCCGTGCCTAAGCATACCCCGAAGCTGCAGGATTAGATCCAGAAAGGAGCCATTCACCTGATTGGAGACACGAATATCATTTGCAACCTTGATAGTCTGGAACTTCGAAGAAAGGTTGGAAATTTGTCCCTCTTTAATAGATACTTTCACGGGAGGTGTTCAAGTGACTTGGCGCATTAGCTTCCACCAAGATGGAAACATATCAGAAATACGCTAAAGGCTGTGACTGCTCATCGTTTGAGGTTCAACTTCACTTTGTACTCACCTATTGCTTGAAATATAATCAATTGAATCATTTAATTGATTAAACTTATCAAAAAGGAGCCATTGTATGGAGGAAAGACAATAATATATGGGTGAAAATAAATATTCCCCTATTCTAATGTTGTTTTGTAAACATGCATGTTTTGTGAAATCTATAAGAATATAAATATTCAATTTTAAAATCTTAATGGACATTCGTAAGTACCAGTCCACAGAACCGGTATTGTCTTAATACCTGAGCCATGTTTTCAATCTTCTTGAGGTTTCTTTCTCCGGAATACAGAGTGAGAAGTTATTTAGAAATGACTTTCACGTGAAGAAACAAGTTCGTCGCTTAATCTGTACACAGTATATGTTGTCCCGGGAGTTTATTTAGTGAATGTTTTTCAATTTCTGATTTGTATCATCTCCATCAAGGTATTATCTGGGTAAAAAGTTTTCAAATAATCATTCTCAAAATAAGTTACTTGCTCATTTTTCTTGAATTTCACAAAAATTAATATTCTCATCAGGCTAGGTGAAAATGTAAACTACAGAATATTATCAAAATTTATTTGAGTCCAATAATAATACAACTTCATTGGCAAATCACAAAATGAATTGTAAAAAAAAATTAAAGTAAGATTCAATTGACACACTTTCAAAAGAAGAAAATATGTTTTGAATTAATTCGAATCCATTAATTCATTAGTCGCGATTTACCTCTTAGAATTATGTCAAAATACGTATTGTTGTTACATATTGTATTCTTATGTATCTATTTTTGTATGATATGAATTACGGTATGTAATAAATTGATGTGTTTGAATTTATTTAAAACTTATTTCCTTCATCTTAGAGCATATTAATGAAAACTTGTTTTTGAAAATGTTTTTCAGGCGGTCCGCCATATTGCATTTAAATTGACATACTTTTATATTTCATATTCTCTAAATTAGTATACATCAAACCCTTCAATTTGATACCCATATTATCATGGGTGTGCATTAAAAAGCTTGCCCGCCATTTTAGATTTGAAATAACGTCATCGTATATTTTTTCAGCAAACCTCTCATTTGATATTCGTATCATGGTGATGCATAAAAAAACTAGTCCGCCATATTGGATGTGGAATGGTTTCAATTGGCTAATCATGTAGTGCTATCCAAACAAAATTTCAGCTCAATCGGTTGAGGATAATTGCTTCAGAATTCTGTTGCGAGATTTGACCCGAACAAAGCAAGTTGAATGAAAACTTAAAAGAAAAAATACTATTTTTTGTCTAGAGCGAAGTTCAGTCTGGGGCTTTTCTTACACTTACTGACATTTGATCTAATTTGATTTTTTCTGGGTATCCAAATATATTTTTCTTCAAAAAATTCTCGCTCAAAAAAGTATTTCTCTACATAAAGTCTTTCATTTAAAACTCTCATATATGACATATCGTTTATCTTTGCCTCGTTCATCTGTGATATTCGAGGATTGAGTTCTTTGTCGATCCCATAGATGGCGTCAACATAAGGAAAGATTTCGTCGCCCTTGTTTCCTCAGACTTGTTCTTCAAAAATAGTTGAATCCAGCAATGCATTTGTGGTTCACTCTAGTACCACTGGCGGCTCGAAACAGTGTTATGTGGTGTCGGATCACAAATGCATTGTTTTTTAATATCCGTATGTGAAAATAGCTATTTTTTAGTTTATATCTAAAAAAGTTTAAGGGTGCTCTTTTGAGTTCAAATTGATATGTATTCATTTTTCTTCATTTTATTGGAAGTTGCCCATTTCTTTACATATTAAGGAAGCAGAAGAAAGTAGAAAGCCTTTAAACGTTTTTTATTATTGAAAATGCTGTACCTACATAATTTGATTCGGTAGATTTGCTCAAACAGTAAATATGCTGAACTGTATTTATGTGGATTTTTTAATGAAACAAAATAAAATGATATGAAATGAAATATCAGCTATTTTAAAAAAATATTTGCTTTAACCAATTATATATTGTTTATTGTAATCGAGTGAAACCTCATTGTTACTCAATTGTTATAAAATGAAAACATAATTATATGGAAACAGATACATGTAAAAAATTATCAAAAAATATATATTGCCTGAATAATTCATTAAATGTTCTCCATTAGCTCCTGGCTCAAAAACTTAAAAAAAAACCTTTGAGGATTAACTTTAAAAAAATACGAGTATTTTTTATTCCTTTGCATAATACAGGTCAAGCATGTAATGCATAAAAATTATTCAAAACAAGTTTCATTTCTATATCGGGTCCACGACTATACCGAAAAAAAATTGACAGCGGATTAAAAACATTATAGGGGTACACAAAATCTAAAATTTATTGTGGGAATGGAATATACAGGATTGGTAAAAATAAACCAACAAAATAGAAAAAGTGTATTGCAGTGTAGAGAATTGACGTAATTTTCAAACAAATACAATCTTATAAAAGGTTAAACTGGAAACTCTAGAATAGAATAAATCCAAATCAAGCAATTTTTTAATCAGCAGAAATGCAATACTCTTCTTGACGCGTGTTTCATCAAACAAGTTGGTGTCTTCAGCAAATGAAAAAACTCATCTCCATTGTTGTCATTTGATATTTTTCAAATAAATCCTCTTTGGGAGAGATAAAATTAAATAATGAAGTTTAAGTAAAAAAATGTCATTTTGATAACAACACTGGTCTGTCTAACGATTTTGCCGGGGACAATGTGAATCGGGTTCAAGATTTACAATATTTTATAGTACATTTCATGAATGTGATATATTGTTAATTTAAATCAATTTCCTGAATATTGTGAATAAAATTAATAATAATACTTTCATCATTTTTCTTGAAGAACCATTCTACAGTTGAAACCAGTACCGAAAAAACAAAGCATACGTAATCCAACAGTAGACAACACTATTTCGATAGGTCTCATCAGTGGTGTTTGACTGAACCACGAATGCATTATTCGACTACACTGCCCTTACAGAAAAAACCTGAGTATAAGTAACCAAAATGCCCTTAAATGATAATCCTGAGTATAAGTAACCATGGACATCTCCCTTTATGGAGTTGCAACCTGTGATGTTTATGGATTGAGTCTTCTGTCGATCACAAATATGGCATGCATGCTTACTTATAACTATTTTATACTGGATTTCAAAAAGAAATTCAGTATAATGAGTAGCACGAATGGTAAATACACACACGATGTTCATTTCATTCTGTTTATTTTATCAGTTCTGACAAATAATGTATCATTTCAGCAAAATGGTTTATGGGTCAGAAAACCACAAGCCTTTCGGAATGGATAACTACGGCTTTCAAGATTCCTCCCATAAGAAACTTGGCCGGTCCGTCAGCGTCAACGTTGAATCTTCCAACTTACCCCTTTATAAAACCACCACTTCCAACACCCTCCTCGGCTGGCGACGGACTCGGGACGATCCCGAAGACATCTTGGAAGAGGAACTTCCTTCAGATGACTTCGAGTACATGGAATGCGGACCATCACCTCCAGCAGATCACACTCCCAACATCTACGAAAGCTTTGAAGAATTTTCTACCAGTGCCGACTTGACCGTTCAAATATGTCACGACACAATCAAGATGAACCTTATGGAGCACATGAAATTGAGTTCTGGCAGACATCAGCTATTAGATGACATTGAGAATAGGAAAACTACATCCGACAATTTGAATGAGGTTTTTCACGGTGCATCAAAAATTGAAATCAACATAGCTTTTCTCTGGGCAGCTTTCATGAAACGGTGGGATTTATTTCCTGGCCTATTGAAACTAGGAGCTCAACTGCGTTATCACGAACCTAGTCAAGGTCTGAGCGCTCTTCATTTAACATCATTCAGCGGCTGTGTTGACGGAACTCAGTATTTGATATCTCAGGGATGCGACGTTAACGCTCTTTTCAAATGCTATACTCCTTTACATTGTGCAGCGTTCGGAGACAGTCCTGAGTCAGCTCTCGTGCTCCTTAATAATGGCGCTAAAGTGCAAACTTTGACTAATAGTCCTCACAGTTGTCACGAGAGTGTATTGCATTGTGCTGTTCGCGCCAATGCAATTGCCTGTGTTAGGCTATTTACTCAAGAAGGTGCGGATGTAGGACAAGTTGAAGACACTGGAGTATCACCTGTACATCTTGCCGCAGACCTGGGCCACCCACAGTGCCTTAAAATTCTTCTGGAATCCAAAACGTTCAATGTCAATACCAGAACTAAGGAAAAGGAACAGACTCCCTTACATCTTGCTGCCGAAAGCGGGTACGTCGACTGTATAGAAATTCTGCTAGATCACAGAGCAGATGCCAACCTCAGCAATCATAGAGACCAAACTCCGTTACACTTGGCTGCTAGGGCCCAAGCATTTGACTGTGTGGAACTACTTCTGAGGAAAGGAAACGCTAATGCCAACATTGGAGACTGCGATCAACGTACGCCTTTACATGCCGCCGTAGGCAAAGCAGCTAGATCTTACGATATAATAGATATACTGTTGAACTACGGAGCAGACGTCAACGCTAGAGACCAATACGGTTATACACCTTTACATATAGCAGCTTTGAATGAGCTGTCGCAGTGTGTAGAAATTTTAATTTACCATGGTGCCGATGTGACAGCCAAGTCCAAGTTTGGAATGACCGCTCTTGGAATCATAACGCGAAAAACTCCCGCGTCCTTAGGTATGGTTACACATAAGTTGGATTCCGCCATAACATTACATCATCATCCCGAATCTTCCAACAGAGAAGTTGAGCTCAGGTTGGACTTCCGCGGAATACTCCAGTACTGCCATCCTCGAGAAATAAGTTTTCTGAATACTTTTGTAGACGAAGGACAAAAAGAAATTTTGTTACATCCACTGTGCTCTGCTTTCTTGTACCTGAAATGGGAAAAGATCAGAAAGTACTATGTGGCCAGAATGGTGTTCTGTTTTATATTTGTTTTGAGTCTTTCTTTGTATGTTCTGACTGCTTTAGCCCACAACTGCTATAACCACGGAAAAAACATGAACGATACGCAACCACAGAATGTCATAGAACTTTGCGAGAAGAAATCTATGATGGGTCACATGCTCAGAAATAATCCGTTTGTTATAGAGATGCAGTGGTTTGTTCTAGTTGGGATCACCTGCTGCGAGATACTCAGGAAGATATACGGTATTGCCGGATATCCGAGTGTTAAGCAGTATTTATCTCACCGCGAAAATATAATAGAATGGACGGTAATTGTGAGTGTGTTCGTCATTTCTTTCATCTACACAGGAAGGACCTACACTTGGCAAAACCACGTAGGAGCTTTTGCTGTTCTATTCGGATGGACTAATATGATGTTGATGGTTGGACAGCTTCCCGTTTTTGGATCTTACGTTGCAATGTATACTAGAGTACAAGGGGAGTTCGCAAAGTTACTACTGGCATATTCTTGTCTGTTGATTGGCTTCACCATTAGTTTTTGCGTCATGTTTCCTGATTCGTCGACTTTTGCGAATCCATTCATCGGACTAATTACCGTTATGGTAATGATGACGGGCGAGCTCAGCTTGGATTTATTGGTAGACGACGATCCTGAAGATCCGCCGTTTTTACTTGAAGTTAGCGCACAAGTCACTTATATTTTGTTTCTTTTATTTGTGACGGTAATATTGATGAATCTCTTGGTGGGCATAGCCGTTCACGATATACAGGGACTACAAAAAACTGCAGGACTATCCAAGTTGGTGAGACAAACTAAATTGATTTCCTATATGGAATTAGCTCTGTTCAACGGTTATCTACCTCAGTATTTGCTTAACTTGTTGCACTGGACTGCCTTGGTATCTCCGAAGGCGTATCGTGTTGTGTTGAACGTGAAACCTTTGAACCCAAGAGAGAAAAGACTTCCGAGAGATATACTGAAAGCCGCCCACGATATTGCCAAAAAACGTAAACGATTCGGACCGACTGTGTCGACTAACGGCACAATTGTGACATGTGCAAAAAAAATAAACAATAACTTGGATCAAAATAGTGAAATTTTAGAATATAATAATACCCTTCCATTGTTACAGAATAAAATCGATAGAAGTGCTGAACAAATTGAACATTTGAGCAAAGAAATTCAAAGTTTGAGAAGTGCCTTTGAAGCTAATCAGAAGTTGATTGAACAGGTGTTGAATACCATATTACATAACAGAAAAAATAGCAAATAAATGAACTGTGCTCTTATATGGTCATATAGTTTTCAATGCATATATTTTGTATTATTTGCAAAAAGCCATAAAATGTATGTAAGAATTAGTTTTTAAATAGTTGCTTGTTATTTTGTATAGGTTAGAAAAAAATATACAAATAAAAATCAAACTTGTGACATATTTGGTTAAGAGAGTAATTTATTTTTGATGAAATGTAAGCAGAGTTGCACAGACTTTTTATGTGAATTTAATTCACAAATCACAATTCCGTGCCCAGCTAAAACTTCAATATCATTTTTACTCAAAATATTTTTACTATTTCAAATCCAATTTTGATTGTTGAATTTGAAATATGACTTGGTTTTATTATTTTAGAAATGATTTGAAGCCACTAGGAATTAATTATGAATCCAATTCAAGAAAAACAAATCACAATTCTTTCACTCAGATTTTTTTGTTGATTTTCAAATTGGAGAATATGGAACAAATGTTTTTTTGAATTCAATATGAGCTTATTGGAAATAGAAACTAACAGGTGATAATGCAACTTTCCTATTCAATACTAACATGAGTGTACTCAGTAATCAGTACCCTTTAAGAATTATTTTTGACTTGGTATTCCAGGTGATTGAAATTTTAAAAATATATCTGAAAGAATAGAATGATTGACAGCTTCTTAAATCTTGTGCTTGCTTCCAGGTTACAACTCGAGACGATTAATTTCAGTTCGATTTTTTGTAAGGATTTAACTATTCATTATTCAAAATGTGATATTAGATAGATAGGTACCATAGTAACTATTTAATCATGGCATAACATTAAAAAATTATGGGATACATAAAACTATTGAATGATGATTCCTTTTTTGTGTGGTTGGTTTATTTACCTGTACACTTCTGTATAATAATAAATAGTCATTCATTAAAAAAATAGGGTTTTTTTGACTTGACTATCTCACATATGATCAATACGTTTTTCCATCCTGTGGCGCTTTCTGACATAAATTACAATTATTTTGATATAGTGAGGTAATGCATACAGCAGGCCTTGAAGATAAGAAAGTAGACTGAGTCAAGCAGCCCCTTCAAATTAATCACAGTAGCATTCACCAAGAGAACATGGAAAGAGGAACTTCGAGATAAACACATTACAACTGTCGGGGGGAAAGTTTGAATATCCGAAAGTGATGTTAGATCTCAGTTGGGTTGAAACCAACATCTAAAAAAAATAAGAAAAAGTGGAAACCTAAGGTCAAACATGGGGATTTAAACCATACATGATATAATGGATTATACAAACAATAGGTCAATGACCTGATAGCAAAATATGACAAAAATGATTGCTATTAATAATATAGGACTTGCTTGTATAGGAATAGTGGGAATAGCAGTACAAACCATACCTCATGCCTTTAGCAACATTTGAGACTTTCTTCAATCCACCCATTTTATATTTTGTGGAAATAAGAGATGTAAAAATAGATAATTACCTAGCTGACTCGTGATTGACTTGATTAATGGATGATCTCATTTACTACTTTGCTTGTTCTTTATTATTGTAATAGGTAAATTCTTCGAAAACATAGAAGAAAACCAAAGTTTAGATTTTATGCTCAATTTTATTTGTTGTTAATTAATCGATTGTTGTTGATGTTGTGTTTTCCAATCTTTGCATTCGTAAAAAAAGATGTCGAGATCTTCATATAATAGCCCCGTGTTTGCGGGACTGATTATGATGTCTCCTGATATTGACAATATCTGCCAATATTCATAGAATATTCTATGAATATTGGCAGAAAGAAAAATTCATAGAAATTGTAAGAGTGTTTGGATGTAGTCCGTCACTCTCTCAATTCTGGCTCGCTTCAGGAGATCATTTATTCAAGTATATCGACCGCTATCCATGATGATAGAAAGTACTTTATTTTGCATCCTTTCCAGCCATTGAAGAGGTGTTTTCTTTAGGTTGCAAAATATTGGACAGGCGTATAGCATTGCTGATCTAATCAGCTTTTTGTATATCAATACTTCGTTATTGGTGCTGAGCTTTGAATTTCTGGCAATAAGCGGGTAAGTCTGTTTTATTGCCGCTCCAGCCCTCTGTATGGCTAGGCTGATATGTTTATATAAATCTACATAACACACCCACTCGGTCAATATACATTGTTTTCCAGGCGGAAGTGTACGCAATCCATCAATGGACAATTATTTGAGGCCTCGACGGAATGTTGGGCGGCACTTTCAGTATTTTTAAACCCGAGATTAACATCCTGACTGATCTGGGAATACCATGAAGTAACAGAACTGACAGACAGTAATGGATGGACTCTTCACTGGTTATCGGAACACCCATAAAGATTGGAAAGGAAAACAAAGAAACGCTTCAACAGAGCGGGAATTGGATCAGAATAATTATAAGATTACTTACTGGAAACTGTTCGCTTGAAGGATAACAAAAAAGTACAACAAAATTGATGTAATGAGTGTTATGAAAATATGGAAGGAAAAACGTAATAAATCATCTTTGGTTGATGTTTTGAACTAGAGAATTTCGACTCTGGAATTATGGATTTTTTAAATTTTGACTAACGACCTTAGCAACTGACCAGAACGGTTACACTGTCGAATAATTCATTAACAACTCTTTTGTTAATCAGCTCTTTAGTTTCCTTCTATTTTTGACTTGAATTGACTGCAAATATTATCAAATCTGTCAGTTTTTGGTGCTAGTATTTTTTATCACTCACTTTAAATGAGATAGATATTTAGAAGTGGTAGTTTTGTTGAAATAAAATGTTGCTGTTATGAGGCTATGTTTCAATCCCTGATAAAAGAATTACCTTAGCTAATTCAGGCACGTATACCGATGGATATTCAGAGTTGAATCAAATACTGGATCCAAGATCAAAACCCCTCCTTGAAATATTTTCATAAGTAATTTCCCAGCAGTAGACCGCAGCCCGTGGTATATTTTTATGGAATCATTTGATACCTCTAAAAATTGTATGATTTCTATTAGACTGAAGTAGAAGATGAGCCTCAGCATATGCCGACACTTGTATGTGGTACACGTGAAAATTTCAGAAAAAGGAGTAATTTGCCAAACGTTCTTGGACGGTTTTTATGAGTCTAATATAATACTAAAAACACATTTTCTAGAAAATGACCTCTTTGTGCATAGTTGATAACAAATCTCTATCAAAAACAGTAATTTATTTTGTTATGTCATACAAATTAGTAGTCTCAAGGGAAGTAAACATTAGGTTAACAAAATAAAAATAAATAACTTTGAACCCTAATTCTAGGATGATCTAGGGGTGGTCTGACATAAACCAACTTATTTATAAGACATGACTACAAATAACCTTTTTGATATGAAAAACTACTTTTGTAAAAGCCATACGGGTAAGTACCTTTGCATATAGAAGTCATTTTTCGAAGATTTTTGAGTAGGTACACCACCTACAACTGAAATTCATCTTTTTACTTCCAGGTCTATTGAAATCATATTTTCAAGAAATCCTAAAATGCAGAATAGGCTTATGGGACTACAAGTCGTGCCTATTATTCCTAATTTCTCGTTTTAAGTAAACAAATATTTTTTTTTCTTACGAGTCAAATTGAAAAGGGTCATTATATTCCAAAAATGAAGTTAATAAATTTTCAGTGTATTATACTGGAAGAGTAACAGGATGATCTAGATGTACAGCAACTATACATTCGATTATTTGTAAACATATTCCTTTTACAGTAATTCACAAAATTAAATAATACAAATGTCAAAAACTGCATTGCTTGTTATGAAAGAGAAGATTGATCATAATGCTTTAGTTTCATGCAAAGAAAGAGTTTTGTTTGTCACCTATGTTGATAAAAGCTTGTTTCATAGTTATTTTAGTTTGAAATTCTTCTTCACCAAAGTAAGCGATTAATTCTATATTCCATTTTCTGAATAGGGGTTTCATCTACTCATTCATGTCCCATCACTGATACATATAACACCATGTGGAAATACATGGTCTAAAGCAGAGGTCGGCAAGTAGATTTAGGTGGGGTCCTGATACTGTGGGAAAATTTTGACGAGGTCCAGAAAAAACAACTGATAAAAATTAAGTGTATCCATTGTATAATTTTGGGCCAAACATGTCCCAGAAGAATATGAAAACTGTTAAGAGACTAGCTATCAATTTGGCCACTATGTTTGGCTCGACATACATATGTGAAACATCTTTCTCAAAAATGTATTTTTTGAAAAACAAATATTATTCGAGATTAACAGACGCTCACCTAGAAGACACACTTCGAATTTGCTGTTCCTCTCGAGGACCAAACTATAAAAAACTGGCTCAAGACCGTCGGTGTAGTTTCTCACTTTAATAAGAGGTCTTGATTTCTTTTATAACTCACAATGTGATTTGAAACCAAAATAATATGTAGCACTTTATTATTAATATTTGTTTTTTTTTCTGGACCCCGTTAAAATTTTCCAACAGTATCCGGATCCCACCTAAAACTACTTGCTGACCCCAAAAAACTGCAGAAACTCAAGTATATCAAGTTGGTATATTGATAAATTTGTTCGAATTAGAGAGGTGAAAACGACATAGGACAGTCGAAAAGCCAATATGGCAGCAGTTTAATAAATCTTTTCTGCTCCCTGTATGCTCAATATCAAGGCCCTTAATTCTACTCAATATTTCTGTGACCACAATAAATCGACTGAATATTATTTTCCTTTAGTGTGTGTTGATATTAATTTTCAACTCATTCCATTTTCAGTTACTTTTTCCTTTAATTTTCTCAAACATGTTGAATAAAGTTGACATCGAGTGCAACATTGTAGGCGGAGGAACATCTGGACAAGCAGGAGCTTTAAGGTGGGGTATTGCCTGGGGACTAAGAAGCTTCGTGGATAAAGATACGATTGAGAAAATGAGATTAGGTAAGTGATACTCCATTGAGAGAGACAGATAGGGGGGAGGTATAATGGAATATATTCCGAAAATGCACCTTCTCTCAAGCTGATCAACTCTTGGAAATGTATTCAATACATTTTAATTTCCAAAATGTATCTAACGGTGATATATGTCTTTAGAAAATTTTACTAAATAATATTTCAACACTGTAACTTTAAGATCTTGTAACCTCCCACAGAAGTCAATAATGATATACCTGCAAATATCATTACGAAAACAACAAAAGCTGATCCAAGTTATCAAACACAAGGTCTGTTCAAAAAATGAGGTGAATTTTCATTTCAGTAATATTTATTTATCAATTTCTATTTTGTCCCCTTTAAAGTAGTCCCCATCAGATATAATACCGTTGTGCTAGCGTTTTTCCCAATCCTCAAAGCAGTTCTGATATGCACTTTTTGGCATGTTCTGTTTTTATCTCCTCCATTTTGCAAACAAGCAATGACAAGTGAGCAGGTGCATTATTGTGATGCAAATGACATGAATTGTTTTTCCACAATACCGGACCTTTCCTTCATATTGCTTCTCGCAAGCGGCGCATAACTTTAAGATAATACTCCTTATTGCATAAGCCAACCGATAGGCCGACATCCTCAGCAACTTCTCTAATAGCGATTCAACAATTCTCCTAACAATTTTCTTCACGTTCTCAACACTTTCATCGGTTGTTGATGTGCTGGGGTGTCCGGCGCTAGCGTTGTTTTTCACATCTTCCCGACCTTATGTGAAAAGTTTGTACCAGTTGTAAACATTTTTCTGACTCAGAATACAATTACCATATGTTTCTGTCAATATTTCAAGTGTTTTCGAGAACTCAATTCCATTTTTTACACAAAATTTGAAATAAATTCTTTGATTGATTTTTTTTTCGATAGCTGAAAATTTCCGAACACGCCAAACACTTTCAACTTTTATGCCTCTCTAAAATCGCTAATCAAATGCATGTAGCCTGTGAAATTTGATCATTCACCTTATTGAACAGACCTCGTATATCATCTACTAATCTTTTTTCAATTTTCATATAGCGGGTCTTTTGACAAGGGACTACCGTACAAAAGAGAGAAAGAAGCCAGGACAAAGGGGAGCCAGAAGAAAATACACCTGGAAGAAACGTTAATATTATACAATTGTTGGATTATTAAAATGAAAAACTAAAAATATCGTTTTTTAATGAAAATATTTGACAAGAAAGTGAAACTTTTTTGCATGATCTACACATCTTTGTAAAAATTTTATTTTCAAATGAGTTGCTTCCTTTCTTCATTTGGAAGATTTAATATCAAGATAATTTCACCAGAAATTGATATATGAAGAATATTATTTTATTTACTAGTAGTTAAGGAAAAATTATAAATTTAAGTCAATGAACATTGAAAGAAAAATTCAAATAATACTGACAAACTGGGTTAAAAAAAAAAACAAAAATCGCTGGTTCTGGTTGTTCTGTTCTGATGGTGTCCTAAAAAAGTAAGTGGGTATTCTATAGATTCACAGTTCCGCAAAAATTCTGCAACTTTTGATATAATACTTAAGTTTGAAAGTATCGAGCGACACATTTGAGGATCCTATCATTTACTCAAAGTATATTTTAAAAACAAGAAAACTGTCTGCCATATACTTACTATATAAGAAAATATATCCACATCATATTCTTTGAATAATGAAACTCAAGTTTTTGTCAGCTACGAGTATAATAAAACATTTTAAAATATCACATTTCATCGAGAGGTCTCAGACCTAAAATAATCATTCCATTTTTCAATACTTCTCTGGCAGTGTTGAATAGTAGTAATCTCTGAGAGGCAACATCAAGGCTCATTCCTTTGACTCGAAGCATTTTGAAGGCTTTATTGATATGATTGCTGAAATGAAACATTTAAATATTTTATTTTTAATAATTGGTTGATGTAATTTTACCATAAACGAAAGAGATAATTGACCAATATATATGCTTCTAATTGTTCATTAGCTTTGTATAAAATATCGTGAAATTTTGCCAACTCCTTCAGTAATACCAGGGCTTCAAGTTCATTCAAAATTTCTGGCACACATTCCTTAGCTGGAATGGCTCCAGAATTTCTTTCTAAACTGTTTAAACGACAGTGTGTATATTGCAGTCTTATCCCAGTGTCACCATCGACCTTAAAACCAGAGCAAAGCATGATATACATATTACATGATATATTTTGACCATATTAGCGAAGTTAGAAAGGGAGTTTGAGGAAATTCATCACAAGCAATTCTTTTGGGTGCGAAATTTCAATTTTTACACATTATTTTGCTTTTGAATAAGTATATGTTGCAGATGGGAAGTCAATTATTTAGTTTTTTTGATAAAAAATTTGATAAAAAAATTTTGTGATGAACAAATAAATACTAATGTTATGTTCTATGCTAACATTATTTCCCAAGGTGTGTTGTTCAAATCAACCACAAGAACTCAATGTTGAAAAACTTCGCTTGAAAAAGTGATTCCAAACGCACCAATATGGTCTACATCTTTCACCTGTAAAACTTTATCCCAATCAAATTGGTAGTCCTTCTGTCTTCGCCTTTTCAAATCATTTACAATAACGCAAGAGATTCCCAAGATGTCTGCAGTTTCTCCATCACTGATAGGCACTTTAGTAGCTGAAGAAATAAAAGTTAGCTTTGAATGTATATAAATTTGGAATTATGTAAAAAGTTTGTAACTCTGGGTTGTATATTTTTGTGTTTTTTTTCTTTCAAATTATTTGCCACAGTATAACGAATATGAAAGTCAATCATTAATGAACATTTTGATAAAAAAGTTAGGGAAGATTAGTTTTTGGGAAAAAACTTTTTGATTTTCCACATCTCGAATATAAAATGTGGAAACTTTCGAAGAAAGGAAGAAAGAGAATAGCTACAATAATATTTTCATAAATATATGTAGAGCATATACGGAATTTTCTTTCAGATACAAACTAGAAAAGAAATCCTTTAAAAACAACTACTTTTACATGAACATTGAATTACAGGATAATCACTTTTTCCCAATTAGATTGTCTACAAACATCCTTTATTGTATTGAAACGGATATTATTCATAAGAATACTACACAATGAGATATATGAAAGACAATTAATATAAAATGTCACTTCCTTTCTTTGGAAGTTTTCCACAATGACGCAGAAGTAGGAATCCAATAAGATTTTCTCAAAAAAAATCAAACATTTTTTGACATCCGGAATTATTAACATAGTACAAATAGAGTTTCATGGTAAGCTATATCTGTTGCTAGGCAACCTACGTCACTGTAATTGGAGTAGTAATTGTTCGTTTTTTATTGTAGTGATATCTGGGGAAGATGGACAAAAATCACTTGAATATATTGCCAGTAAAATAAAAGCAACTTCGGCAAGTGGCTATACAAAAATCACTTGAATAAATATACTCCCTTGTGAAATAAAATACAATAGTCATGAAATACTGAACTTGAACTTACAATAAGTTGTTTTACAAGGTTCATTCGAGATTTTCTTGAAACATTTTTAATTCAATGAGACATTCTATTTTTTATTGAATTGTTCTCAAACAACTGAACTCAACACTATCATATTTAGCAAAAATTATATCAATCAATTTCAACAACAAATGACAGCTGCAACCACCAACGCACTAGTAACAAAATCAATGTGATAATTATTTTATGTGAGAGGGTTCCATCATTATATTTCATTTATTTTGTTCAATGAATGAAAATGATTCTAATAATAACAAGCTTTAGTTCGAAGGTTATATCAAGTCAGTTCTCTGTCTGTTTAAAATCTGTTTTTCCGTTATTCAGCTGTCGCCCCCATACGAATGACAACTCTCAGAAGTTGAGAAACTTGGGCGAGCTAAGGACTAACGAAGTCTTACCTTTTAACGTGATTCCTAACACGGTTGCAGAGTCATCCCAGCTTCAACCAGATAAATTCTCTCAAAAAAAATATCTGGTCGAGGCAGGAATCGAACCCACAGCCTTCCGATCGTGAGTCGAGCGCACTACCACCGCGGCCAATTCCACAAGTTATTGCTGAGATTTTGAGATATAACAATCATCCTCACATTTAATGCACAAACCTATAATATCTGCCGCAGTAGTAGACGAAAAGTTTGGTGCTATGAGTTATCTCAATGAGTTGTCATTCGTTGAAATATTTCGATTATACCTATCAAATCAGTTTCAAATCAAAATCACCTATCACTAAGTTGGAGTACTTCCACTTCCGTTTTTGCTCAATAACAATTTGTAAACATCTGAAATTTGCATGAAAGAAAATATCCATGCAGTTTCAGGGTTAAACTTGGTTACTTTGATCCTAGTTGAAAATATTTTACTCTTTCTGTTTGTATCTGAAATTTTCCAAGTATATATCTGTTTGTATCTGAAGTTTTCTAAGTATACATCAATAATGGTTATATAACAAGTAGCAAAAAAGGCTTACTTGGTGACTGAATTTGCCTCTTGATCATCATTTCTCTACATTCATCCAAAATATCTTTCAAAAAAACTGCAGTACCTTTCCTAGTGCTCATACCCCTTATCCTACCAAACTTGACATGATGAATCCTATCAGCCCAAGGCAAATCCATTTTGTAAATGATATTTTTTAATGAATGAAAGTGATCTGTTTGACTATTATCTACTACGTAATACATCCTGTCAAAGTTATACTTTTTGAATCTGTCAATAGCTGCTGCTATATCTCTGGTCAAGTATAAAGTAGAACCATCACTTTTGATAACAGAAACTTCTTTATCATCAATAAGAGCAACTTCTTTCCCATCTTTATCTTTGTGGATAATGTTTTTCTTGCGTAGTACTTCAATTATATCTTGAATATGCTTAGCACTGTAATCTGATTCATAGTTATATTCGTCGAAAGTAACCCCTAATCTACTGTAAGTGTTTATTAGTTCCTTTTCAGAGTAGTCCATGAACTCTCTCCAGTATTTTAGATGTTTTTCTGATCCATTTTCTAAATGTGCAAATTCTGCCTTGGCTTTTTCAAAAATGCTAGAATCTTTTTCAGCTAACTTGTTCGCATATAAATAGGACTGATAGAGCAATTTGAGAGGGTTTTTTTTGATATCTTCTGGTGTATACTTCAGGGCATCAACACCCATTCTTATGAAACCAAACTGTGTGCCCCAATTACCCAAATAATTTAACCTCAATCTTGGGGAAATCTGAAAATACTCGTTCCTTCACCGGTTCTAGCTGAACAACCGCGGAAAACACAATAGTAACCAGGCATTTCGATTTTCACTTCTTATAAATACACACAAAATCTAGTTTTATGTTGATATTAGTTTAACTCGTAGAATTTCACTCGAAGATTGTCACTAGTATCGATTCAAAAACACACAACTACTGTGTCACGATTGATTCTTCAAAACCAATTATCTCCTGAAAACTCTTGCCTAAATAGCATAATTTCAATGTATACAGAGCTAGGTAGGTACTCTTTGTAACTAACTACCTACCTCATTATGTTTGCTCAGTGCTCACAGACTAATGGAGACAACTAAGCCCGAGAATGACGTGGAGACAACCAAGTCGACGCATCCGTCTACGAAAAAGGGACACAAAATGGCCGTCTTTGTCGCTTCTCTGTGGTAGGTATTCTCGGACTGCACTGTCAAAAGAAAGAAGACGGTTCACAGCAGAGTTGCCAATCTGATAGAGAGATAAAGATCGAAAGTCGTACATACCAAGTCAAATTTGCATATTTTTCAAAAAATTACTGTAGACTGTTAGAGAATCTCAAAATATCTCTCTTAAACTATAATTGTATCAAAAGCTATTAATTTTGGACATCCAGCTGGACAAAGAAACTCTAATGGCGTATCAAAAACAGTCAACTCTAGTATTTGAAAAAAGATATACTTTATGAACACAATACTTAATATTTACTACGTTTATGCACATGGCAGTATGAATCTTACACTGTATCGTACTCCGTACAACTACTCAAATTACCGTATGTCACAATAATTACCATACAGATTGGCAACACAGGGTTAGTATCTGTAATAATTATTATGACGTCACTGATGATAATAAATTTGAATATTCTGTAATAATAAGGGGAGAGGTTGCGAAATACTCGTTGAGCCAAATTTGGAGTTTTGGAAAGGGGTATGTCAGATGAACTGGTAATAAAATTAAATGTTTATTACGAATGTAGTCTTGAACTTCCTGGGCCCAAAACATGTCCTGATAGAAAATACAAGTCAGTTTTTAAAAATTCGAAAGTTTGGGATTGTCCAAGAAATACAACACCCTGCATGTAAAACAGTCATTCCGAAAAGTATGTGTTACGAATTTTAAATCAGTTGTTTTCCAAAACGCCTCTGAATCGAATTCAATTGCCAGCACGAAATTAAAGTAGTGAAAAAGTAAATACCAAGTTTAAAAAATGGGGGAGATGTTTCTTCGATAATAATGATTGATCAATTTTGTTCCATGTTCATTATATAAAGTGTCTTCAATTTTTTTCTTGCTTGATCTAATAATAATAATAATCTACAAAATGCAACGCGGTGGCTTACTTTTTTTTTGTTGGCCAATGTGACGCCATTGGGCGTGATAATTCCAAGTTAGTTAGGCAATAAATTCCTCATAACTTCAATTAACTGTACCAACTCTCAACTAAATTGGCTAAGGATATTTAAGATATTACTTATTATATATCGTTCTTAAAACTTCAATGCTTTCATCTCAGAAACGAAACAACGGATACATTTTCATAGAAATTTTTTTCTTAAAATGACCTAACGAACAGCACTATGAAGTTTCGTTAGAGGAAATAACCTGTCTAAAACGAAAATAAAGTTGAAGCGATTTAGGTCAACAGGGTAACAGATGTTTTACTACGAAGTCTTTTATTATAAATTAATAGTATGCTAAATTGATGGTATTCTCAATAAAAATGGTATAAATAGAAGACTTTTATGCTGAATAACACTAAAATCTGTTTCTGTTTTAAAATCTGGGTGAAATTGATGAGAAAAAAATAAAATGTTTTCAAAATTGTGGAACTGAGAATGTTTCAAAATTGATAGAAATGACAAGTTTACTTACCATCATGCAAATGAGAAATTGCATATAGACAATTTATGAACCTAGAAGATCTAACTGATCAAAATAGTTCAACAAACAAGTGCCATTCAATGTTATTTTAATAATCAAGCTTTGAATTCATGAATTTGAAATACAATTTCAAGATAGCCACTTCAAGTATTGAAAAATATATGATTTATGTAGCTTCATTTCCGAAAAACTGAAATTATATTATAGTGGAAATTAGGAATTTGAAAACTTTCAGTTTTCATTTTAAGCCTAGTTTTTTCTTTATTCAATTTTTAGCCCACTTCCTCTCCTCAAATATCTTAATGATTATAACTATATTAAGTATATAAAATTAGACTGTATATATCGCAGTTCAAATTTAGCGCTATTTTTACTTTCAGTAGCGTCATAAGGATGGCTCCGAAATTTTTTGACATTTCGTTTCTCCTTTTATACCAACCCTGTTACTCGACATGGACTCGATGTCCATGCGTTGATGAACACAAAAGAAAAAATTCAGTGCAATAAAGGTCAGTCAGATTCAATTCTGAAGGCATTGATGAAATGAGTAGAAAAACATACCTATAGAATAGCAAATGGAAAATAAGCAATCCTTTCTACTTGTAAAATTATTTACTATCAATAACAAGACACAATGTAATGATAGGCATCTTATTGGAATGTTGGTTGCCTACCAAAAATTGATTAGAAAAATGTTATTTTATAAATACGTCATCTAACGTCATCTGATGAACTGTCAACGAACGAACGAACGTCAGTAGTTGAGACCAGTTACCAGTTGTTCTTTCTTCATCATTTTGCGTTGAGCGGAGCGGTTAGTTGTAGGTTTTAGCTCTGCATTGCTTGCGCGTATCGTGTCAGTGCCTTGTGTGATTGTGGTGGTGTTTGGTAGTTTTAGGTGTTAAAGAAGTGAGTCAACAGGTGCAATATGACGGGCAGATTAGCAGGACAGACAATAAACGATAGGTTATTGGCCGCAAAACACAGCTTGGCTGGGCAAGGATTAGCAAAGTCCGTCTGCAAAGCCACTACAGAGGAAATGATTGGCCCCAAAAAGAAACATTTAGATTGTGAGTACCTTTTCCCATAAGTCTTTCATATTAATAAGAAGAATCTCCTCATATAGATCGAAAAAAATGATCTAACCTTTGTAAATCTTCACAATAATAAGGTATGTCAATCTTATCATATTTATTCACCTGTTTGTCATTGATAAGATTTGATACATTTCGGAAACTAATAACATAACATTATTTTTCTCAAAAAATTACCGATATGTGCCGGTATATAGGTACAAGTCATTTTAAAATAAATATCAACCTATTATTTGTATTTTGGTTGGTACTAGAAAGGAGTGGAGGGGAGATTTACTTATCTACAACCTACCTGTGGTGAGGAATGCCGTTTTTGTCGTTTACAATGCCATTGATTTGAGTCTTCTATTTCCAACACGCTTCTGTTTTCTTGTGCAAATGGAGTTTCTTGTGTCAAAATTTTAAGTTTTTATAAATATCTTACCTAATTTTGTAACCAATGTACAAGTAATGATTATAACAAATTTGATGAATTTTACTAGTTCGGACTTATATTGTCTGATATATGATTTGAAATATCAAGCAATAAAATGTGAAATGAAATTACAAAAAATAAAAATGAACAAAAAATTAAAAATTGAACAATTGAAAATGAAATGGATAATTGAAAAAGATTTCTACCAATTTTTTTGTATCAGGATGGAGTAGCAGAAAGCAAAAACTTTCTTTCCCAAAATTCTTCACTTTTTGCATTGGACAACAAAAAATGAGCCCACAGGAAAAATACCATCCGCGAATTCTCTTAGTGATATTTTTATTCTTACTGTAAGATCATCGTTAATTAATTGAGTCATATCCCGCAATTTAGTCTGACATGATCTTTGGGTCTGTTATACTTACTTATATCTCTTTTCAAAATGCATTTTTACTGATAATTTTACTTTTTTTTTGGTCCCTTGGGAGCTGTCTGACTTGTCCATTTAGTTCAAGTCTCCAGAAAACACTGCAGCCTCTTGGGTTTATTGCGTTTATTCTCCCATCTTGTTATGACACCCATTCCATCAGTCTCGTTTCCTGTACTAGTTTGTTCAGGTTGCGTGTTGGATGTTTGTCATATTCTTCTGGGCGTAATTTTGTACGTCCATATATTGCCTGCCTCCTGTGATTCAGTGCCTCACATTCGCATAAGATGTGTAGAGCTGTTTCTATCCCTTCGTTGCATAATCTGCAGCTGAGGTCTCCGTTGTATAGCCCCATTTTATTCAGGTGTCCTCTAAACGGACAATGACAGGTTAGTAACCCTGTAATTATTCTGAGCTGATACCTACTATATTGAAGTAGTTTTTCGGTTCTTTTTTCGGGCGGTTCCCTAATGAAGGTTCTACTGTGTTGCCAGGTACTTTTGTCCAGTACTCTGTGTACTTCTTATTGGTCCATGTCCTAATCTGGTTTCGTACCAATGATTTTGGTATCCCCAGAGCTGGTTCAGGACCTACATATGAAGTTGATGATCCGTGTCTAGCGCATTCATCAGCTTTATCATTACCTGTGATTCCTGAATGCCCTGGCATCCAATACAAAGTTAATTTGTTCCTGTTTGCAAGTTCATTCAGTTCTTCATGGTATTCCCAGACCAGTTTTGATGTCAACTTCGGGTTTGTCAGAGCCCCTAGTGCGCTCTTGCTGTCTGTTAAAATATTGATTCACTCATTTCTTTGGGGTCTCAATTTTATAAGCCTTGCACACTGCATGATAGCATCCGCCTGAAAGACGGATGTGTATAGTCCTAGCGGATAACTGTAGTTTAAATTTCTATCCGCTCGGTATATTCCAGCTCCCGTTCCATGTTTGGTCTTCGATCCATCTGTATACCAGGTGTTTTTTCCAAACATGTTTTCGGGATGACTAATGGTCTTCCACTCTTCATGGCTTATGGTTTTGGCCGTGAAGTTTGTGTTAAAGGTGTACTTCGTGTCATGTGGTCCGTGCACATATTCAATATGTGCTCCTCCACATGTTCCGAAATTTCTGTTCGGTCC